TGGTGCATGGTTTCAACCAATGTTCATCTTCATCACAGACCTCGACTGATGGTGCAAAGCGAGCCCCGTGCCTTACCGGGGCTGAGCTACACCGTACCTGTGAACTAAAGTCACCCCTTTGCCAGTGCCACAGCTGAGAGGGCTACAGCTGTCCAACACAGAGCTCCCACACTCAACCTGCTGCATCGACGCACCACGGAAAGGGGTGCAGTATTAAACAAAAGTCTGAAGCTGTGTTTTAAGCTTAATTATCAATCACTTTTTTTCTCTTCCATGGGTTTGTGTCTCCTCTCTCTCCCGATCCACTTTCAGTCCCCACTGGATGAACAGTTTTGGGAACTAAAACCATTACGCAGAGGCCAAGCCAAGAAATCGTTAAGGGCAGGCTTCACAGCTGACCAGCCAACTGAGGAAGGCATCATGCCAAAATTAAACATTCGCTTTGCAGGCTACATATGATTCTGCGGGTCATGCATTGTATAGGTCTGTTCTAAGCCTTTGAACTTCTCTGATCACAGGCAAAGCTGGCAGCCTCAGTGGGAGCTTTTTGCCTGAGTAAAAGCTAGATGATTGAATTCTATATATTATACGGAATCCTTCAACATGACCAAAACCCAAATCTCTTTCAGAAAAAATGTTCTGCCACATTAGCAGTGAGGTCAAGGTTCAACTGCAACATGGAAAGAACCATCTTGATTTGTATGTTACTTGTTACTTGATATGTAAGAAAAAAGGATGTCACAACAGAGATAGAAAATTATAAGACGCATCATAAAGAATTATTCATGTATTGCACATCCAGGAATGTCTCAATACAACCTGAAAATTAGAAATATTGCAGAACTGCTTCACAAATGAAGACTTCTGTGAATAATAATGATCCATGAATTCACTACAATATATGATTCTCACTTTTTTTTTGAGAGAGAGTTGTCAAAACACTATGGAAAGGGGAAAAAGACATAAACCTCCATATTTTAACATTTTTTTCTATTGAAGAGTAAAGCTCTCATTGCAAAAGATCCAATCCCCTTCTGCCTACACAAATGCTACCACATAACTTCAAACATTTTCACTACTGGCATATTTAAGTTCATCAATCAAACACGGACACATATTACAAAGTAAGGGCCGAGACTGCAGCAAGCATTACACCGCAGTAACACAGCGTCCCATGAGTTGCTGCTTTGCTACAGCTCTTAACAGCTCAGGACTGCAGGAAGCCTGTCAGTTCTGGCTGCAGAATTACCAAGTCATGCACAGTTCTCAAATTCCTTAGACACAAACCAAAAGAAGTGTCAGTGTTTGCAGAAGATCACGGTCACAGAGAGGTAACATCCACCTGACACCCTACTTTTCTGTTGTTGGAGTATTTTCCCTTTCCAGAATTTTTCCCAGAATTCCTCCATTTTTAGGGGTGGGCAAGGGCAGGAAGGGTCCAGGAATCCAAGTTGAAACTATTTATAGGGTTTTCACCAAGAGGAATGACAAAAGAAAGGACAGGATATAAGATGTATTAAACCTTTTCAAGAACTAATTCTATCCTGGGGATTCCTGACTGGTGGAGAAGTCGAGCGAATTCCTCTAGAGCACTTAGAGAACACAACTTCTGTCAAAGCTCACTCAGGTTCTGTATGGCATCGCAGCACTTCACCGCGATGCTTTGCCTCTAGTATCCCTCAGTTTCTCAATAAAGCATCTCAGACTTGACTACACTCGAATCTAAAGAAACTGAAGGATGGAGTAGGACAATGTATTTGAAAATTAAAAACAACCAAATCTCCATGCCTCTCTATGTAACATGTAGACGCTGTTCTGAAAAAAAAGTTTGGGAAAACCTGGTAACAATTGTATGAAATAGAATGCATGGGAGAACTCCAACATGGCAAAGAGCATGAAACAGTCACTGCTAAAACTGTCCAAATTCAGAATATCATCTTGCTAAAAGCCAGTATGAGATGCTTTATGAAACATACACCGCACAGTCATAACCACTGGATGAAAAGGCATTTTTCCTCTCATCTAACTTGTTACACACCTGAGCTGTTCAGCCTGTGGACTACTTATCACAGGAACTGCAAAAGCAGCATTTATCATTACAGAGGAAATGCTGAATACAAAAGCACAATGGAAGAACAGTATACTGAAATTATATTTTTAATGCATTGTAAATCAGTTAACTTCATCAGAAATGAAATACATAGGAAAGTAAAAAATTCTGGTTATAGGTTATTCCTCTGCTGTACATCCATATACATTACGACCATTCATGGCAAAAAGTATCTGATTATGAAGATTGCTATACATCATTTTTATCACAAGGTGGTGCAAGTGACTTGTGAGCACATTCGCTTTACAAAACTTTGACAATCTTGTGTTTTGACACCCTCAAGCTAATAAGGCATTTTTTACATGTAAAAATAAACAAAAAAAATGGCAAAACAACAATATAACTCCCCTTCCTCTTGACTCACAATCTGCTGCATTCCTTGACTCAGAATATTGCTTCAGCCCAACTTGTAAGTTTCCAAATTTTCCAACAGGCTGTTAGCTGTACATCGCTAAGAGAAGTTATATCAGCAAAATGGTTCTTGGCACTGTCAGATCTGAAACACTTGTCTTTTACACAGAATAGGGCACATTGAGAAGCAGGTGGCGTTGATATGCTACTTAATTCCCAAAGCTTGAGAACATGGGGGCACTCTTCCAACAAGAGATAATGAATTCTCTAATGTAGAAACTCAGAATTTATGTATAGAATACAGACAAAACAAGCAGGTTTATGTATTTTATATGCTACAGATATTTAGTATAGTAATACTTATTAACATACGTAAATGCATTTAAATGCACTCCCACGGCAACTTAAAACAGAATTGGTAACAGAACTCAGATGCAGCACTACATTTTTGGCAGACAGCTCAGAGGAACTTCAGTAGCATGCTGTACTCCTATCAGTAGTACTCATCCACATCAATGAATCTACATAAAGCAGTAACAATGCATCCAGTTATCTCTGTACATGGATCCTGTAACTGTGAAACAGTTTAATGTTCCAAAATCACACAACATTGATTTGCAGCAGTGTGATTTAGGCTCATTACTTCCTTCATCTTAATATTTTGTGTTGCATATCTGGCATGACACTTCATTATAATCTATATACAAAGTAGTAAAATGAATCAGCACTACACTGATAAAAAGATGACTGCAGATTTTTATATAAACAAACACATGAATTAGATTTGAAAAAAGAAAGAGCTTGGCTTAATATGAAATAAAGTGTCTTCCTTACTATTCCACTACTGAAAGTATTTAGGACCTCCTTCCACCAAGGAAAATGGAGTGGAGAATAACATAGTCATCCATGACTGATAACTAGTCAACGGTCTACAACACATTTGATATTTTTTAAAGGACATGGAAGACAATCTCAATACACATATCTTTCATCCATCAATGTTAATGTGAATTTAGTTTTTTGGTAGGATTATACATGCATGGAAAAAATACCAACCAAACAAAAAAAATGACAGAGCAGCTCCAGCAACTAAAAAAGTCACATACACTACAACCTAGCACAATCTTGAGTGCTCAGGTACGCTAAATTTAGTGTTGTCCATTCTGTTCTAATATGTTACGGTTAGACCATCCAAAAATCAGATCAGCTGAATGGCTAACTCTAAACCACTTCAAATGTGAAACTGCAAAATTAATGTTTAGGATGGGCATTTTGGACGTGATAAATGAGACCTTTACATCCTATTATGTTACACGGAGTGACAGGATCAGAAGGGAACCTCAGAAAGCAATATGCAGCTGGGAGATAATAAAGCTTTATCTGTCCACTAAGTAAACACAACATGATTTATACTTGTTGTAAATGGCGAAGAAAAAGCCCAAGCCAAGGGAATAAACCAGAAATTGTTTGCCCTAGAGAAATGCAACATGATTACAGGATTAGAACTTGAGAGATTTTCTTGTCTTCCAACTGAGAGGGAAGAGGCAAGATTGGGTTTTTTTGCAGGCACTTTCCACTAGTGAGCTCATGAAAAAGCTGCATGATTCAAAACATGACAAAACCAATGCATATTTGGTAGCACTTTCAAGAACTGTCCTTGCTCGAAAATATGCAGTTATAAATCAGACCAAACTTTTCAACTGAAAAGTGAATCCCCACTTCACAAAAAGCCCTAAAGATCCATAGTCATGACTGTTTTATGTAAAAAACACCCCAACAAAACCACAACCAAAATAAAATCTGGAGTTCCTGTTTTCTACAGAGGACACATTGAAACACATCTGACACCCTTTACAGTAGTAGCCTCAAAGGCCAATAGTATTCTTCTGAGATGTTAGAGGTTTACCTTGATTCACCCTTGTTTTTCCTGTACTACCTTAAGAGACTGCATACTGTAAGAGTACATATACTTTAAGGAATTGTTTTGCTCATGTTCAGGTAGCCCTGAACCCCAGGCATTGGCCAAAGGCACTGAAGTGGTAAACATGAAACAGACATGCAAGAATGGCCTTTACACTCTGTTCTGGCACTTGTTTAACTATGAAACTCCTGTGACAATATTGTGTTATGGTGGTTTAATAGACACGGGAGCCTGAAGTATTCCAGATTTGTTGAAGCACATACAGACTTTCACCTGCTTGGTGGGGATATACCCTCTATTTCATTTCAGGCAGGTTTTATGATCACTGAGAAACTGCAGTCCTCTGTGCTGATCCCCACAAAAGTAACTGAACACTCCCACTGGCTGTATTTATCAGCCAGTTCTCCTCCTTCCCTCTGCATATTCAACCTCTCTTTATCCACTCTTACTTTTCAAAACAAAATGCACCCACATAAGCCCTATATCTCAAATTAACATTAAACATTAACACAGTTACAATTTTGTCCCTTAAAAGGCACACTTGGCAAAGTGATTTCCAGGCAAAAGCTAACAGACATTACCATACAGAGGCATGTGTATACATGTATACAGAAGTATCTCAAGAACCAAAGTCTGTAGATACAGCAAGTAAAGCAAGCACAAAGTGTCAGCTCCCCTGCTCAGCCCCTTCACTTTGCGGCAGGATTCTTGGGAGGTTGCAGTTTGTAGGTGCTGAAGTAGTTCACCACTTGCTGAGGGACTTCTGCCAGGACACACTGCGCCAGAGCTTCTTTTGGAGACTTATAAAAAGAGAACATCAAGTTTCAGTTTCCACCAACTGTTAACTTTTATCCTAAGACAGGTAATAAGCACCTCCTCTACTAGGCCAATTTGAAGCCTGACATTTTACAGAGGAATTTACACAGTGCCTTTGTGGGACAGATGGAAGCTTCCCTGACACCTTTACTTTCTCACTCCCATTACCAAGAACCATCTGGCTGCCATGTTCCACTGCAGTAAAAGGAGCTGGGTGCGCAAAGGGCTGTCATGTCTGAAGATACATTTTGTCATATGAAATACACATGCACATAGAGGAGTGCAGACATCCAACTTCAGCCACGAACACACTTCCACTACCTGCTTAAGATGACCCTTCAGAGGCTTGTGTAACCATCTGCAACATTTTTGCAAGTCTCATCCACAGTAATCGCACTGCTACAGAGCAGCTCTCCTAGAGATACTGTTTTTACTGTAAGACCAAGTATCCTATCCATAGGGGAAACAAAATGCCCCTTTTTCTAGAAACTGAAAGTATTTGAATATATAAATTTATATTGAATATTGACCTAGTTAATCTACATCCAAGTGCCTTATTCAGTAAGCATATTCTATATTTATTATGCTCTCTTCAACCTTTCAGTTTGCCTGAGCTGCTCTGAGATTAAACAAATAACTTGTATCAAAAGTAAAAATAAAAACAAAAAGGCAAAATAAAAAGGTATGAGGAGTATTATTAACAGGGTTAATACTAAGAAACAAAACAAAATTAGAACATATTAGGATGGAAATAAAAACATTGATCTTATCTTCCCCATCCTGAGAAAATTTTGTTGTTTGTTTTTTTTTAAATTGATTTTTTCCAGTGATACAACATTTAAAAGTCAGACTATATTAGCCTGTGCCTATTTTATTGGGTTCTACAGCAAAAGATCAGGACTCCCTTCTTTCACTGCCTATTTTTCTGGTATATTTTCTTTAATGAAAATGAAAGGTATCAACACTACTGTGCCGACACACAATTTCTACTGGTTACGACCTCCCTGATTTAGTCTTGAATTTTAACACTGCACTAAAATGTGAGAACTAATCCACATCTACAAATGGGCATCCACAATAGAAAACACTTCTCCATGAGAAAAAAAACACAGTAAGTTCTTCCTCGCAAATGGCACCCATATCCATTTGTTTCATCAAGTCAGAAATGCAGTGCTCAACCAGAAATGGAGTTTTTAATCATGAAGCAGTTCACCTAACAGAAATTCTACAGATGCTTAAGTCCTTTTTTTTTCAGCATTTGATAAAGACATATCTCAGACTTCACAGTTCATTTTAGAGACACTGCAAAAGCTTAGGACTATATGCAGGATATCTTAGCAAATCCAGCATACCCCTATAATATTTACTAAGCATACCATTAAGATTACTTACATTTTGGAACTTCCTGAACGGCACAAACTGGACAATGTCTCTGACAGCTGGTTCTCCTGACGAGGACCTAAGAACTCCATTGTCACCATCAAGAAACTCCATAGCATCGAAGTCCGCTCCTCCAACACCAACAATGATAATGGACATGGGCAATTTTGAAGCATTAACTATGGCAGTTCGAGTTTGATCAAGGTCTGTTATCACACCATCCGTTATGATCAGAAGTATAAAGTATTGCTGTCAAATCAACAAACACTGTGTTATGACAAAAAAATAGAAAACATATAGGCATGTGACTTAGAAAAATACACATACAGACTACATACTGTTGTCACTTTGAGCATGTTCAGTGCACTCACTGAATTTTAAAATCAAACACCAAAGCTGTGGCCAGGCATCATCTGTACAGTCCAAAGAAATTCATAAGGACAACATAATCAATCTTCTAAAAGAAGTCATCTTTAAACAGCCACCTCCCAAAAACCCAGTGGTATCACCCTTATCCTCTCCAAATCCCGAGACAAACCAACAGTTAACCTATCTTCCAAGTATTTGTCCTGGGTCAGAAGGCGGTTTAGTCAGGTTTTGCACAGATTACACCTGTGAAACTCATATTTGTTTCCTTTCTGGTCTATCAGTACCTTTATGAGATGCTACCCTTCACTTCATTCAGTTAAGAAAGGATGAACAAAGGAGTGCTACCAAGGGTAATGGAACAGGCCTTCATTTTTTCAGTATATCCCTAAAATCCTAAATATAGATTGAACACAGCTTTTTGTGCTGAAAAATAGCATGCCCATTTTCAAATTCCTTTAATCATGTTTTCCACCCACTTTATGAAGTTAATTACTAAGGCATCCGAGACCACCTTGCAGTACTTTGGTAATTTATTCAAGTATCACTTGAGTTGCTTCCACTATACTGCCAGGTCTTCTAAAAGTTGGCATCTTAGCCTCTGTTCTGGATTGAAGTATCAAGAACAAGCTAGAAGTACAAAGTTCAGAAACTATCAAACACTTTTTGAACTTCTGGTCTTCTCTCACTTGGTTCATTTCAGATGATTACTGGGCAGCACAAATTCAAGTTCCAAAGGTACTCCCAGTATTCTTAAAAGTCTTTCTCTTCAGTACTTTGCTTCCCATCTTCCCTTATCTGCCTCCAAAATAATTGGTTTTCCCTTATCTCCTGTGTTCAAATATCACCTTTTCTCATTGCTCCCCACTACACCATTCCCCCACTCCAGTAAGAATGTCTACAAAGCAACCATGATGAGAGAAGGCTGTGATCAGCAGCATGATAGCACATCACACTGGATTTATTTCTCTCTTCTTACACTTTCTCCATATTGGAAAAAAATACAACCTCAAAACCAAAACCCAACTCACAACTATCTACAACATGCATTAAATGGCAAGGCAGCAAAACTTCTTCAATATATCATTTCAGGTAAAAAACATAAATCTCTTGCAAGGTATATTGCACTCTCAGGGGAAAAAAAATACAAAAGATTTTGCTACTTTCCTAAAAAAATATATTGATGACAGTTACTACGGAGCAACTACTAAGGCAAAACCTTACAAACCTCTTGGCATATAAAAATCCATAGCTCATTTCCAAATTGGTTTCCAAAGGTAGTTTTGTAAGCAAAATTAGCTCATTTTATTTTCTCATTTTACGGGATGTCTGAGATACCATTGTCATCATCAATAATTTAGGATGTACATCTCTTCAGATTTGCTGAACTTGCACGGATTACTATCCAAGTGATTTGATACTCAAGACTTGCTCTTCAGACTTCTTGTTTCTTAATACGGTCAACAACCCACACATACAATTTTAATAGGGAGTAGGGCACAGCACATACAGCATGTAAATCTTTATAGTACCGACAGTTAATTATCTATGTTGGTACCTAGGTGTCAAGAGCTGTATCCTCCATTTCTTCATTACCTTACTTAATTCTCTCTCTCTCTCCACTATCTGATGTGAAACAAGGTCTAGCTGATTTTTCTCAGCTGAATTTAAATTACTCTCCTATATGCAAAGGCTTAAATTAGACTTTAACACCTGTATAGCACTGCAAGAGCTTTGAATAGAAGAAAACATAAAGGCACCATGTATTTTTAAGTTGATATTTCAGCTCTGAAGAGTTTATTTAGTTAATTTAGGAGAAAATTGTTATGCACAATCTGCAAAAAACAGTTAGCTTTTATCTTGTTTAAAGGGTACCAAACACCAATTCACAAGGAAAAAGGCCAGCTGTCTGAACAAGCTTAAAAGAGAAAAGTAGTCTTTATAAACTAGAAAGGAAAGTAAAAAAGAAAAATACACACACTACCATAAAGAACTTACAGATGCTGTTTGCTGTTGTGTAGCTGCAGCAGCAAATCTTGCCACATGATTTATAATTGGAGAAAAATTTGTTGGCCCATATAACTTCACTTGAGGAAGACAAACCCGATATGCATCAACAATGCCTTGGATTCCTAGAGAACACAAACAGATCCTATAATTTTTTTCATATTAGAATTAGGACATTTTGAAGCATTTGATCTCCCTCAAACACTGTATATATCAGTTATTTAAAGTGATGATGCAAAGATTTAAAACAAACTATGATTAAAACAAAAAAAGTGATCCATGAGCAATGGAGGAGGCCTTGAGCTTGACCAGTGCTTAGTGTGCACACTTAACACGCCCGACTTTATGTGAACACAGAGCCCAAGTACTGTATTCTGACATGTGCATAACTGAATTACAACAGTTCTCTTCGCCTGGCAGCTCGTGGTAGTCAGTAGTGTGATCAGAGAGGCCATGCTGAACAGGAACTAACAGCATCATACTCAAACCAGATAAATCCACACCTGCAGTGAAGTAGAATGAAGTGGCTTGACAACATGAGAGAACTGTTCCTAGCTGACCTGTACTGTGCCCTAGCTTTTTAAAAAACTTCTTTCATGAATTATCTGATCAGAGAGACCAAATGCTTCATCTTATAACTAAGAAAACATTTATAAAATTGTTTCCTGCTATTATTTAATTAGAACAACATGCTTCACAGTTCACCTTTCAAGTGTCTTTAACCCTTCACCTTAGACATTTTGTTCTAGGTCTGATGTTACTTTCTCAGACTTACCATTACAGAATGGGTTTGATGGGTTAAAATTTAATGGGAACTCATGTGACACCTGTCAATACAGAAAAGACATAGTCAGGACTGTATGTACAATCACCTCCTGAAGTAACTGCTTTTAGCTGTCTTCCATAATGTATTTACATATTCCATTACCTGAAAGGAAGGAGGAATTTGTGCACCAAATCCAAAGGCTGGAAACATCTTATCTCTAAAAAAGCAATTTTAAGGAAAATTAAGTCAGTGCCTTCCTTTAAAAGCTGTCACAGTTCAGTAAGTTTAGCTAATCAGTACTGCTTTTGATCGTTAAAAATGCTGTTTATTAAGCATTAAGAGGCAAAACTAAATTGAAGCTTCCCCCGTAATTGTTTCTAGGATGAAAACCAGTCTTTAACACTGGTTAAATTGTCAAGAATGCAAGCATTTATTTAAATTAATGCTGCTCTTTACACTACAGATGAAAAGCCTTGCTTGTCTGCTGTAAACACAAGCTTCTGCTTGTGGTTATGTGATTACGAAGTCTTTTCTAGCTCTACAATTCAGATCGGAAGTTTCATTCCAATATATCTGCTGGCATCTTCAACACTGTCTTAAGAAACTACCATAAAAATCTACACATATCTAAAAAATTATTTAAATAAAAATCTAAAACTTACGTATCATAATCCTGAACGACCATTCCTACAGACCAAATGGCTGTTAGGTATTCATTAACTCCATTAGGGCTGAGGTAATGCAGAGAGTCTGGAGAGCGAGGGTCTCCATTGGAGCCTGTAAAATCTATCCCCACCTGTCAAATGCAATATTTATATCAAATTGCTGTTAAAGTTACATTTCTTATCTCTGGCAAAGCCGAAGTGCCACTACAAAACCAGCAGAAGCTCTGCATCTCTCAGAAGGGCTGGAAACTTTCATCTGTCAGGTTTTCCTTGTGTTTACTCTCAGTTACCATTCACATCAGTGCTCCAACACCTGTTAAATTAATTTCATCCTCTATCTTGCCATACACATCTTTCCTCTCAGAAGTGCAACTAGCCAGACACCACAGAAGCCTAGAGATAGTTCTTTCTCTGACCTCAGTGAGTCTCCTCTGCTTTGGTGATGAGGCACATACCAGGGTGCAGACAACTTACTGTTACTTGTGCTGCATTTATTTCATGAATTACATAACTTAAGGGTCCTAGCCATATGATGGCTTCTGTGCATTGCTTTCATTAAGCAAAGGGCCTTGAAAACCACCACCAAGGGCAAAAGTGAGATCTTTGGTCAGAAGAAAAGGCCAGGGGGGAAGTGGGGAAGGGCCCTTATGAAAAGGAAACTTGAGGTTGAGGTAAATCAGAGAACCATAAATATTCTCCTTGGTCTCCATCCATACAGCTCAGCTAATTCCTAATGAATGTAACTACAGGTTCACAATTCCATGAGTAACAAAAATACTTTTTTCTAAACAGACTAGATGGACTCTGGCAAAATGACCTTCCTCCTACCTGCTACAGAACAACAACAACAACAATAACAAAAAAAAGTCAAATGAAGAGCACAGACAATCAATTCTATACTTCAATTTGTTCCAAAACTCAAAAGCTACTTTACATAAATGACTTAACTTACTGTGAAATTCAGCTGACACCCACCCATGATGTAATCAAGGAATGTGCATTCTACTACGATCTAAAAATAGAAGACAGAAAATAATTTTTTTTAAATGGAAGAAAACAGTAAGTATTATTGCAACAGCTTTTGAGGCCCCAGATTTGTTATCTTTACCCATGGAAAGCACTATTTTTACTCCATGGTATGACACTCACCCCCCCACTGCAGTGAGGGTATTTACAGGGTGTGCCATCACACATTCAGTGCATCAGAATCAGGCCTTTTACAAAATTACAGGCAGAAAATACAGGAGCTCCAAAAGCACTATTGTTTATAAAAGAATTTATTATGACAGACTCATCAGATTTTAATTCACCATAAAACAGTGAGTTGGGAAATGCAGTGGTTCAGGAACAGTAAGCGACAATTTGGTAAGCGACCTTCGCCATACAGATGGCATCTTCCAAGAGAAAGTGAGGGGGTAGGGGGGGACAGACACATAATTCAGCTGTCAATCTGTCTCCTTATATGAATCAGAGCCCTTAAACATTTACTATGTCTGGAACTTTCAGACATTTTAAAGTTTCTTACAGTTTGAGGGTGAAGTCATAGTAGATGAGGGTTGTTATCCCATAGCACTTAAAAAGTCATACCAGAATACATTACTGACCTCACAGTGCTTAACGCTCACAATGCCAGAGTTTTTATAGTTTTTTTTCTTCTGTCTTTTCTTTTCATTGATGCACTCAAATTCAACCTGCAGGAATGTAAACAAACAAAAGCACTATGAATATAATTTATGCGACAAATTTAAAAATTCTTTATTCTAGGACTGATACTTTGGGCTTGCATTAAAAATGCAGTTTATTTCACTGTCAGGCAAAATTAAAACCAGTCTGCCCAAAATCAGCGAGAAAAACCCCATTATCAAGAAAGAAACTGTTCTTCCCAAAAGCTCACAAAAATGCTTGTTTAGACACCTGTATTTCAACCAGATAAAGAAATTCCGTACCATTTTCTCTCTGAGAATTCTGCTAACAACTATATTCTCGGTAAAGACATGGTGATTCAGGCAAAGTATCGCTGTTTCCAGCAGCTGTGGCAGTAACATATTAAATAAGAGGTGTACGTTTAAGCTTTCCAAAATCAGTTGTTGAGGCTTCATCAACTGAACCTTAACCTCCACGTGCAATCAACAGCTAGCCAGGTTAAGCGGCTCCTGCCGTCACACAGTCATGATGGCACAATGCAGGGTGTCTGGTGCATAAATAGTCTGAGAAGATATTCCAGACATGCCTTCCAGCTCAGTGCCAGAAACAGGTTCTGCTGCTTTAAGTCAATCAAGTCTTAAAAAGTGATCTCAAGCAAAAAAATGCACTAATAAGGTCAGCACCCGAGAAGTCCACGTGCCTCTTCTTTACCTTCTTTTTTTTGGACATTTCACCACCAGCGTCACTTCTATTTGATTGAAATTGTCTTTCAGGGACTTGTTTTTGTCCTATGTCAATTGGTGAGGTACTCCTAGTAATGGCCAAGGGATACACACCATGTGCAATCTGACAACTACAGTTTATAATCCTCCAACCAGAGCACACTAACAGCATGCCTGGGGGGAAGATACATCTTAAGGGAAGGGAGGAAAAATTAAAAAAAAAAAAAACAAATCAGCAATTCTCCAGGGACTGAAAAGCCACCCATTCACTCCAGTCATACAAGATCAGCTTTTTCATCAACTGAGGATTCAGAGTCACACCCATCCTCACCTCAAGCAAACTTGAAAGAAGCTGTGCCAAATCTCCCACAGGTGCAGCTGATGTCAGAATTGTGGGAGTAACTAAAGTTCACACCTTGAGTATATAAAGCCAAATTCTAATGTGCACTGGAAATATTTTACAGACATTATCAAATTAATCAGATCACACAGGATTATGGGTTAGTCCCTTTTAAAAGCTGCAGAAACCTGGAGCACATTATTTGTGTTGCTTCTTATCTACACTTCCTCTTACTGACACAGTAATAAGTTACTTAGAATAGGTACAGCCACAGTTCTCATGAAAACAACTTTCTTAAAGCTTTTCCAAAACCAGCACAGGCAAATTATTACTTAAAATACCTTTTCTTTAAATTCAAAGGAGATTGCAACTGTTATGCTACTACGGAAGCAATGAAAATAGATACTTGTATTCTCAAAGAGCCTCTACACAACATGCTTCACACTGTACAGGAGCCATCACAGTTCTTACAAAAAGCATGTGCTTGAAAATGTAAATGTACAAACCTGCTAAGTTTAATTCATGATACTGCTCTATAACAAAATGCAACATTTTTAAAATGAAGAACAATTCATGATAAAAATTAATAAAATAAGTAAAAAAGCAAAAAAATTTATTTTATTAAATCCTCCTGTTTCCCTTTTTTTTGTTGAACACTTCAATTATAATAATAATAAGGATCACTGTCAGCATTGAAAGCTAAACTGATACCATCTGGCCCCTGAAAATCTAGAAAAAATAAGAAAAACACCTAAGAGCTCCAACTGGGCAGCATATGAATTACATGTGTACCATATGAGTCAAAAATTCCTTACAAACAGTATAAAACCTTAAGAGGCATTAAGCTGAACCATCCATAATTCAAAATGAATTTAGAAACAGGTAACTAGAAGAAAAGCATAGCAGGGCACAAAGCAGCACTCAAAAACCCACTACATTCAAGGCTGACTCTTCACATGCAACAGCTCTGAAGAATTTAGTACAAATGCAACACTGAAGATGTTAGAAAAGCACAAGCAGACACTCAGTATATCCTATTATTATTAATACAGAGCAGTTCTGCAGGTTTTAAGGAAATACAGGAAAAGATGGTAAAATATTTTGACAACATACATGTCCATAAAAACAAAGACTTTTATGTAAGGTTGCTATGCCACCGTTCTTCTTCTAAATGTAAACCCTGTCTATTGAAAGGTTTGTAAATTGTTATAGTTCATAAGAACAGGAAAGAATTTCACTTTAAAGAAGAACCACCTAATGTAACACATTAAATTGCATTTTTGTGCAGGGGTATAAATGTTGAATTTTTTCATATTCACTAAAATACGCGTGATAGCTGCTAAATGCCATATTGAAATGAAGGACTGAATAAAATCTGAAAAAAATACCACAAGTTTTGGCCTTTTAACTGCAGTACCTTTGTATTGCATTCTGTCTTTGACACTAAAATTTTTTATTTCTGTATTTTTATAATTAGTGAAATGCTTTTGTGCTGATGCTCAGGTATTCAGATATGTAATATTAAAACACATAATAACATAAATGCTGAGTCAGCCTCAACTACAGTAGCATTGTTAAGGTCTAACTTAACACAACTTTGACACCTGCAAGCCAAGTGACATAAATTTTGCTCCAAAATGAGTAAAACAGCTTATCAAAAACACACAGGCAGTTTAGACTATGGAAGACTTACAGGTGAGGACCGAGACGCTTCCTTCAGTTTTGACATCGTAGTTTGAAAACTTCCTATGAGATCATGAGACCCATCGCTATCATAGTCATAGCACTCAACCTAAAATTAAGCATTATTCAGTGTTAGTAACATAAACGGCCCTACAAAAGCAACCAACACTGCAATGGCATTTCTAGTTGAAGCAAACCTGAACATCCAAAACATTCCTAAATCTCTTATAACGTGGAGTTTTTCTCACATGACAGTCTTAGAATTGCATAGAGTTGCATCTAAAAAACTATGGATTAAGATCGGGTAAAAGCCCATACACCTAGGTTCAGATCAGATCTTCCACTGAAGTGAAAGAGAGATGAGAATACTAAGCAGTGTCAAGTCCCACATGAGCGGGTAACATCAATTATATCCAATTATGTTTTGGGAGTGAGGGGGTGTCAAGAAGAGTAGGAAAACAATCCGTACGTTTTTTTACTGCCATCATGGATTAACAGACTTAGTTTTTCAGCGATATTAAGGAAATTTAACTATCTCTGATCAGTAAATCAGTTATTCAGTAATCATGAGAGTTTTATTTATACTTTTATATTACTTTATTAATCTTCAGGATAGCTCAGAACTTTTAAGTATGTGAAGCTTCAGCCCTAAATCTAGAAAGAAGTTTTTTTTTTTTAAGCAAATTTAAACAGTCACTATGATCCATACTTCATGGATCTGCATGTCAACTAAAAAAAAAAAAAAATCCCTCCTCTCCTGTATTCAGTGTTTAATGCTAAGTTTTACTATTCAGTCAACTCACCTTTTAACACCCCAACTCACCAAAGAAGGCAGAACCAATGGAAAACAGACTTTTTTTTCTGTTTGAGAACATATCAGTTTGAGTGAGCATAATTTTACCATTGTTACTTTAACCTTATAGTGTCCTCAATTTTTTTTTTTTAAAAGCTCAACTTATGAATGTGCCCCAACTGCCTTTATAGATAAAATCTGTGTATTTATAGATAATAGCATATGGTAATTCCATCCACTTCTGATACTTTATTTCAGTTTAGCAGAACAGACATGCTAGCTAACTTAAATTAATCAAGCACAGAAAAAACCAAAACAAAATATTAATTATAATTACAAATAATAACAATAATAAATCAAGAGTCAAAGTAGGAATCCCCCATTATTTGGAATCAAAACAAACTTCAATAAAAACTTGAAGCTATTTTCACATCCATCTTTCAAGACTGAAAAAATCCTATGTTATATTCAAGATAAAATTTAGTTGATTACTTGGCCACTTCATTTAGGAATAACAAATTAAAGCAAACAACTGCAACATACACTTGAGTTTCTGAGAGGAATTAACTTTCTGAAAACAAACAGTAATGTTGAAGTACAAAATATAACGCATAGATTGCAAGTTCTACACTGTGCAGAACATGCCTCTGTTGCTGTTTGCATTAGTCCTACACCATTTTGAATGCACTGATAAATAAATAAAATGCATGCACATGCACTGAATAGCAACTTAAATCTCATACAAGCAGCCACAGTACCAACAGACTAATGTTCATGGCAAATGCTATGTAAAAATTCTTTTGAATGCCACAAATTAAGCCAATCAAATACTCAGCCAAGTGCTTTAGTACCTGAAATTTAAAACTGAAGACATTTCCTGAGCCATAAGTTATGATACCTGTTCACAGTTAGCACAGTTATTTTTTTTTTCCTTTTAAAGGGATTAAAGTTTGTCTTGCTTGACATATTTGACCCATCTAAGCCAATTTTCAATACTTACTCCAGTAAAGACAGAAATATTTTTTTGGTCCAAGTATTCTCTCCTGGACACACAACTGTACTAGGGAACCATGTGATAAAGTCACACATATATTTCCCCAGCAGAACTAGGCATGCTTGCTCCAGATGAAAGGCTCACATTTTCAACACAGAAAGACTTCACTGACTGCAAACACACTCAGATGGAATATAGCAATAAATCCAGAAGATAATCAACTTGGTTTGTGCATTGCTGTCGATACACAAACTAAGCCATTAAGCAGGTGAAAAGCCACTCATTATGGAAGAGTTGGTGGTTTTACTTACTATGACAAATAGCCCATTACGTATGCAACTGTGCACATATAAAAGTGTTAAAAGTATTGTTCAATCCTTCAACAACATTATAATACAATTCTGTCTGCATTTTAATGTTTGAAGAGATAGCTCCTGGATTTCTAAGTTAAGACATAATCCTACTGTCTGCAAGTGCATAAAAACTCCAAGTAAAATCTATTTCCTCTGGAAATAAGCCTACACTTCTGAGGTATGACTCCAAAGAATAGACTTCATTAAAATGCTGGTAGAGTGAAAATGATGATAGAGCTGAGAATAACTCCATCTTAATAGATATATTTTAATCAATGGTCTATAATTTTAGTATGGCTGTTTACTGAAAAAGAAAAATTTGTTTACAGTATATGGAAATGTAAGAGCTCCCACAGCTATTTTGGGGAAAAGGGCAGAAGAAAGGAATGAGAAGGAAAAACCAAGGAAGCAACAAGGGAAGCAGGTTCTGGGCTTGTGAAGTTGTTTATTACTCTGCTCTATAATTATGTATTTAAATCTATACAGGTGCTTGTATCACCCAGATCTCTGTGGCTTTTAGGCATTTTCCAGGACTGCCTCAAGTCAGGTGACTAATATCTGTCACATGCAGATCATGCTCTCACTTTTCCTTCCCAGAGGAAGAACAGCAAGTACAGTGGTTTGTTTTATTTGGTTTTTGTTGGTCTTTTTCTTCCAAATGCTTAAGTATCAGGTTCCTAACATGTTCATAACAGCTTATAAATGACATTTTGATTGCTTCTTTAGCTTCCCCTAAAGGAAATTCCTGAAGAACAACATTCAGAAGTTAAACATAATTTATTCAAGATAAGATTCGAAGATACAAAGAGTTAAAGACCAATCCTCATAAAAGTATCACTTCACAAGTCTGGTTGACTTTCTGACAGAAAGTTTCATCTGAGGAGAAAAGTTGCTACATCTGATACCCACAAGTTGTATCTGGTCCACATCTGTTATCTCAGGTAGTATATTAAGTGTAATTAATTGTATCAGGCAGTATATTAATGAATTTCATCAGCATTCCCTGTTGCACCAGTAACAATATTACAAGATCCATAAGGTGGAGTAAAGCATATTCTAGCCTTTACCACACATCTTTCACTACACAGTATCTTAACAACACCAATATTAGCTGATGCAGCACTGAAACTGTGTGATCTAAATAAGAAACTGAATTGGACATTTCAAAGCTACTTATGTTCAACTGGTTTCCCAGAGTTTCAAAGACCAACTTTTACCAGATAATGCATCACAAATGTGAGATTTTTTTTTTTTCCTAAAACATGCATTCATCTCTATGACTTTCAAATAAAAAGAAGAAACAAAGAGGCAATAACTAAAATAACACATCTTCCATTTATTACATATCCTACTTTTTTTTAATGCACTGATGCATACACATATTTCATATACATTACCTTGATTGACTTATCCATGTCACTGTAACACAGAGAATTCAGAGAGATTTTAAAGGGCCTCCAAACAGGATTCAGGTTGTTTTTAATAACCTGTAAAAAATAAAAAAGCCAGAATAGTATTGTTCACAAGAGTGGAAAGCAGTCATTGTAACTGGTCATACCTTCATGCTGTTATTTTTGTAAGCAAAACCACTTGACTAATTCTGCTGTCAATCACTTCCTGCAATCCAAATCCTAACATACAGGATATAAACAAACTCACCATTCCTAACATGAGGTAGTATTGTCCAAAAGAGATGGTATCTTTCAACTCCATATTTTTCTAGACTGCACTGTGATCTACTATATCATTCAGCTACTACACTGCAAAAAAATTAACTTCTTTATCATTACAAAAATACTGATAGTTTGGTTTTTTTAATAAGCACATACACATATACACATACATACAAACATACATAAAAGCATGACTTACCAAAAAAACATGGAAAAAGATTACACTGGAATTTCTGAATACATCAACGCTCTGGAGATTACCATTCACTCCAGCTTATATTTATTCTGAAATGCCACTTACAGAAATGTTCTCTCAATAAATTCATAGTATAGTTAAGCAGAAACAGTGCATGAGGATAAAAAAAAACCCCTACTGCACAGACTCTCTCAAGATGAAAGCTAAGTAAGTGATATTTAAGAATAATATTGAAGTATCTTCAGAATTTGTCAACTGGAAAGTATCTATAATGCACCCAATACATCAAATAATGATCTCAGAAAGCACAACAAACTACACACAAGCAGCAATATATTATTAATAATACCTAATAACAGTAATATGTATACTTCCAGCACTGTAGGAGTGCAGAGAAAGGGAATCTCTTTTGAAAATGAAAACAGTAAATAGTAGTTAGTAATATAAAAACGTTTTTAAAATCTGTAACAAAGAACTAATCCTCCAGACAGTTCTAGGCTGGAACAGCAAATTCTGGATTCATTACTGAAATTGAAGATGACTGAAATCGTCATGGAAAAGATACATTTTATGTACAAGAACCACCTCATGAGAGAAGCTATTTTTATAAAACTGACAAAAAATATTTCTACTTCTTCAACATCCGTGCTTCAAAATTAATACTGTCACTGCTTCAAATGCCCACAATACCTGAGTTGTGACTAGGGCCTGAGCTTCCACTACAGTGAGACACTCTGAACCTACTCCTACCCTGTCAGTTGCCTCCATGGGACCTCTGTACCTCCTCCTGGGTGGAATGCCGCTGCTGCTCAAGCACATTTTCCCTCACTCAGCATTATCCTTGGTTTGCCCTTGCTATGCAAGCATTGGGCATAATTACTTTCATTAGTAAACGGTACAGCTAGGTGACACTGACCCAAGAATAGCACAGTCACAGGAATGCTCAAGTTCTAACCTCAGAGTAGCACCGAGACAAATGTCCCTGTGTGAGTCAGTACCTTTTCAAAACATTTGTCATCTTCTTCTAGATTGCAGAAAGTTAATAAAAAAAAAAAAAACAACACCAAACAGAAAACAAAAAAGTGTTTTCCTTTAAAACAGGATAGCATAAACCAGAATCAGAGTAAGGAAGGCTTCCCTACCTAAGGCAGACATAAAATCTGTGGAAGACCTGAGGTGATTTCTAAATGGTCTGCATGTCAATGACCAGACCATTCCCTTCTTTTTGTAAAACACTGTACCTCTGGAGCAGTGACACACCGGAAATCAAACCACCTTAATCCCTAGGTTGTTGACAGAAAATATCCTACCTCTGTTCTGTGAACCATCACCCAGTTTCCATCTCCAGTCTGCTTGTGGAATTCCAGATAAGGATCTGACTTTCCAAAAAAATCCTGTATTTAAAGAACATGTAATTATCCCAAAACAGCCTGTGGCATGAATGTCATTAAATCCTAGTTAAAACACACTTACATCAACAAAAAGCAAACTAAATATTCAAGGAACAAAAGCTTTAGATGAAGAAATGCAAGTCTGATTACATTACCACCTGTGAAAGAGAGGGAGAAAATGGGGCATGTCTGTCAATTTAGCATAAAAGTTCTGCAGTGTCCCTATATGAAACACCTGAAGGTTCAAGCAAAAGAATACTTAGACTAGTAAGTACTATGATGGATAGTTAGGAAACTAAGGATTTCATCCAGTTAAAAAAAGTAACATTAAATTGACCTAGAAAAATAACATTTTTTCCATTATTATTTTTTTAATTTTTGTTTTTAAGTCTTTCTAAACACAGTATTTTTATCCAGCCCCAAAATATTTAACAGAAAGATTTATACACTCCAAGTATACTCTTCACCATCTATTTGAGAGAGCTAATAGGTAATCATCTATACAACTACTCAAACCAATGGATATACCAAAACTCCCTTACCTTTATGATTACATGTAAAGATCTATATTTAAGTGGAAGCATGCTATTCACAGAATATCCCTGCAATGCACTTGTCTTATTTAGAAACGTTATAATTCATTTCAAAACAGTCAATGAAGTTACTCTACAGCTATCTTTCAATTATATTTTAGAAAAATCTTAATTGATTTAATTATTTCAGCAAAAAAATAGAAAGAACATGTTAATGTTTCCAGTTTTGACAAGACTCTGATTTTACTATTTTATCAAAGAAACAGCAATCACTCAAATACCTTATTGTCCAGTTTCCTTGCCTCTACTTCCAATACAACCACTCTGTTATCCTTCACTTCTTCTGCTGTAATCTAGATAGGCAAACAAAATAAAATACTTATTTTGTATTCAGGAACTACATAGTTTTCTTATATTCAGAACACTCCTATGAGAGGTCCAGTAAAAAAAATGTTTCCTCACAAATGAAGCACTAAAAAATGGGATGGGGGGAAGAAGGAACAATTTTATTCGACATTGGGATTCACTAGATGATGAGACAACTACAGAAACTGCCCAGAAAGTAGGACACTGGATGTCCTAACTATTCTGACAGATGCAATCAGATTTGTAGATGCAAAAGGTGGGCTGCTCTCCTTTTGGACAACAAAGAAGCATTAGTGGAGGAAAAAAATACTTTAAGATATGTTTTACAGCACTGTAGATTAGCGTTCAAGCCACTAACTAACTAAAAAACAAACCTCACAAAAACACTTAAGGATAAACACTGCAGAGATTTATTGTCTTAATTGTCTTACCGTAATACTTCCTCTTCCAGCAGGTCTGCCATTTTTAAGTACTAATGGTTTTGTTAGAGTCTTGCTAGAAACTATCTGTCAAGACAAAATTCGAGTATCAAGCATTATTAGTGCAATTTAATAGATTTTCAAAGGAATGAAATGAGATCGTGAGGTATTTTCATTTTAGGAATTGTTCCTTTATTATGAAGATGACAGCATTACATTTACTTCCCACGATCTCCCACAAATAAATAGGTAACACTTGATACACTTCAAAATATTAACATATACATGCAGATGAACACATGCAGACTTTCAGGAGTAATATGAAATAAAGTGTCTTCTAGTAACATGCTACACATACATGGACAAAGATAATACCTTAAGTTCCAATCTCAAATTGTTCTTAAGTTTTGTGTACGTACAATTCAAACACATGCAAGCCAAATTTCATGAATGGCTTCAGCAAACAGAGTTATGAACACAATGTCTGTCATGCATACAAACATCAGCCTCCCCCTGCAGCGTTTTTAGGTGATTTTATTTAATCCTCTTCAGGCAATGCTTCCTCAGAAGTTTGTCTACTCATTCTACAGATCCTTCTTTACTTTTAAGAATGAATCATTAATTTTAAATTGTTACTGAATTTCATTTCATAATGCCTCCGTCTCCAAAATGCTCTTAAAATAAAAATACTTGAGTCACAGGGGAGGAAAAAGCCCTGAGAAGAAGTGCCTTCGAAAGACTTAGTAGAAAGAACAAGTTAAAAAGAAGCTGCCTGATTGTGACAGCACCAACAGCAGAATTTGACAGGGAAATGGGAATGAAATCAACAGTAGGTAGAACCAGAATCACTGCTTGCCTTGACTGGAAAGTAAATTATAAAGCTAACGTGGCCCTTGTGAATACTCTTACATTGCTGTATACCAATTCTCTTTCTATGAAGCACATGAATAAGAATTTGAGTATTAGAGGAAATAAACAGCAATTACTACTTTGTGCTCATTGACAGTCCACTTTCACACGACAATCTGGACAGTCACCATCCTAGAGTACATTTCAGGGCATCATCTCAAGACCTTTTGCAAACAAAATGTATATACACTGAACTGCAGCTTGAAAAAACAAATGAAGGGAATCATATTCAACTTCAGAGTGCCTCAACGGCACAAGGACACAATGATAAATTTAAGGTGACAGTGGTTATTGATTTGCAGTAGCTTTTATTTTCTTAATTCTAAAGGAAATCATCTGCATACTTACTTGTCCCAGTGTACATTCAAATTCTCCTAAGAAGTCGTCATCATTCAGATCAAAGGTTTTGTTATCGATATCATATACTCCAAATTTAAGCTTCTGAACAAGCTCAAAATAGTAATCAATTAGGAATTTCTTGGCAAACTTTGGGTTCAAGGAATTCTTAACTCTTTCTGTGCGATCAACCTGCAGTTATAAAGATATCACTTTATCCAGTATTTTAGCAACCAAACAAGCACTCAAATCAAATATTATTAAAAACTTTCAAAAGTACTTCCTAGTATAAAGTACAAAGCCATATCTTCCTACAAAGCTTCCATCAAATATAAATAACCACATTATACTACAAAACCCACTGCTGCAAGTCAGAGATATTTGAGGACCTATTTTTCTTTGCTCCCTGTAAGGAGCATAGGGAATATGCATTCCCTGCATAGGGAAGACCAACATAAAAACGGTATATTGTCAAATCCAGGACGAGACCCTAGTTTTGAAGTACTGTATTTATAAAAGCACTTTTAAGCACTTGGAAGGCTGCTTCTGTTGGCCCACATGGCTAGGGGAACAGTGCTAAAAATCAGACAGGTGTAAACATTTATTAGAAAACAATTATTAGTATGCTACCTTTATAACTATTATAGACATAATCCAACGAAAAGTATTGCGAGGTACTGGCATATAATTAAAATATTTAAATCAAATCATGTGCTCCACTGTTTTAAAAGGTCCAACAAGTTACACTGTGTTTTTAGCAGATTCATGAAAAACATCACACTGTACCTCATACCACTGCTGACCAGTCGTGTTCTGGAGAAGCACACACAGCGGGTCTGACTTGGAACCAACATCTTTGTCCAAAAGATTGGTGCAGGCAATAGTGAGTTCCACCTTTGTCACACACTGTGCTGCCATTTTTTAACCTAGAAAGCAGCAACAGAAATAATTATCTTAAAAAAGGACTAAAAAGGAAACAATGGGATTGCCACAGTGCCTTAATTCCCTGACTGATCACTAGAATTGTTAGCTTGTCAGGACTGAGATTTGAGGCTTCAAATGCAAATTTTAAGATTTATGATGTAACAACATTACAGTATTGCTGTCATACTCTTGGCTTAGCCACACAGGTATAAAACTTCATTTCAAAATCTGCACATAAGAAACAAGATCAGATTTCTTAGAATGCTTGAGAACCAAATGGAAAACAGGATGCACCACAAAGAAAGCACAGTGGTTTGAACTGCTGACAATAAAACTTCACAAGCATTAAATTACATCCTGTAAAGCCCACATGAATGTCAGTACCTTATAATGTAGATATTAATAATAATTAATTGAATAAGGAAAAAAATTATATACTTCCCCACCAAACCTTTGTAACAGAATGTTGACGTCATAAGCATGGCAGAATTGGAAAAGGAGTTTAACTGGGTAACAAGAATAGGTTATCTTGCTTTAGTAAATCTTAAAAAAACAACTACAGTTTTTAATAATAGGAATAAACAACTCTGAAGTCAAGTAACAACTGAGAATTAGGAGGAAGTGTTCTTTCTGGAGGTTTGTTTAAAAAAAGAACAACTGAAAGCTTTCTCACATTTCCTCTTCAGTATCTCAACAATTCTCTGCTGGAACTGAGAAGACCAGTAGATATTACAAACCTACAGAAACAACTTCATTATCAGTTATGAATCCCACACTGCGATAACGAGCATTTGCAAGCCTAATTAGGTCCAAGCAGCAGATATTATCTATGTTAAAAAAATCTCTATAATTATACTCCTCAGGAATAGAGTTGATCATTTCCAACGCCTCCTTGGGAGTTGAGCCTCTACAGTACAATTGCCCTTGACTCAGACTAAAACTTCCAAATATTTCCATAAGCAGCAACCTTGGAAGTTCCCAAGCCTCTTTAGTTTCAGGTTCTCCTTCTCTACAGTAAGTCCACAGTCTAGACACAGTATTCCTCTGGATTAACTTGAAAATGCATGACACCAAACAGAATAAGGAAGGAAAGGCATCTGGCTTCTGTGTAGTCATCTCACTTGCATCATACACATATAGTGTACTTGAATAAGAAACTACACTCAACCCAACTCACCTCTCTTCCTTTCACTGCATTCACATGACTCTTCGTGAAAAGGAGTTTTTTTTAGAGGGGAAAAGGGAAAGAAAGATGGAAAAGAGGATCAATGAACTGAAAGCAGGAGAAAGAAAACACTGTGGTCTGAAGGAATTTTCCTGAGGTTTCTTGTGTTCCACTAAGGCACACTTAACATATTGGCTCTCCATCTCTGATTTGCTGTCTTAGAGTTGGACCTTTTGGAGACTAAAGTCACGCACATGCACTATTTTTAAGGAGCATGTCAGATTTATGGAAGTCCTCCTGCACCTAAACATGATTCCATCTTTGAGTATCTTTTGCTCCCATGACTTTCATAAGTTTCAGTTATTGTCCTATAGGGGAAAAAAGTGAAGCTCTAAGTATCTAAACTGTTTCTAAACCAATGGTTTTTTTAGGCTTAGAAAGAACACTTTTAAAAAGCAGTCTGCCCCCTTTTTTCTGGTTCTCTTTTTATACTGGTATTTTCCATTCCCTACTCCCTGCCTGGCTGCCAGACAGAGCTCATTAGCAGTCAGCCGCTTTACCCATAGAATAGAAAGCAGATCAGTGCATGGCTCCTTAATGGCTGTTTCCAGAAAAACAACCTTCTGCTGGCAAAATGATGCTCTAATACCCAATGACGCTGCAACAGCAAGTAGAAAGGGTTTTCATTAAATTCAACAGAATTCAAACTTGAATTGAGACATATTTCTCAAAACAGTCAAAATTACCTTGGTCTAACTTTCCTGAGACTCCTTATTATAACGATTCCCCAAAAGGACTTCTAGACACATTTCTTTTGTTAATGTTTCCAAAATCACTGGTAAATGGGTAGCATCCAGTCAACCTAAAAACCTGGCCAGCTTTTTCTACTTAGGCTGTATGTGAGTGTGCATGTCCCACTTCTCTTACACCACAAGTACTTTTGCACACGAGTGTCAGTTCTGCTATTTCCTCTTCTCCTCCACATGTCACTGACTCTCCCACCATGCATCTAACATGGGAAATGAGCAGATTTAGCAAAAGATGTGCTATGTAAAAAGCATCCTTTAACACACAGAGAAAGGAAGAATAAAAAAGCTGCTTCACTTCCCTGGAATGCACATACTCTTGTTTGAGACCTAATAATTGCATCCATATTAGATAAAAGACAATTTATAACAAGAACATGCATTTATCCAAGTGGAGGATACTCAACTTGAAACCCAGACACAAAAGCAAAACTTCACAAATCCTGAGATGGTCCCTCCATTTCCAGTTTTCACAAATCCAAGATGAAAAATAATGCAAGGCATTCTCCTCAGAGATTTTCAGAATATTAAGAATCAATATTTGTATAATGGGTTGAATAGGTCTGTAACACTTCTAATGAATTTCAATGAATATTTTTGCTATATTACTTGGAAAAAAAAAAAAAAAAACAACATGATTATCCATAATACCATGACTGGTATGTTTTACAGTAAACAGTTACATACAACCTTATTTTGAATAACATTATAAACATTAAAAATTAGTAAAATACTTATTAGTGAGAAAAACACATCTCTAACTCAAACTAGTATTTACAGTAGTGAAACTCAGTACAAACATAACAGATGCTTCTCTTACAACACTGCAGTCATTACAGACCTTGCAGAGGGCACACAGGTGCTTCACATATGTGAACTCGGAAGTATTTTAAACAGCAATAGCTGCTGGAGCTCTGCACATGCTTTACGAACCCTTTTAATACCATAAAATGAAGAATGACACCAGCTCCACCCAATTCTCCTCACATCCTAAAGCCTATGTTAGCTGAAAACTTCCAAAACAGGTTTGGGAGGTGGGTGCTAGGATTCCTAAAGATGATAAACACCCTCAAGGATCAGAGTCACTGACAGGTAAGCAAGCACGTTCTTTGTGAAGATGTGATGGAACACAGAGTCTGTCACATTGCAGTCTCTTCAGGATGGTGGAAACAAGAAATCACAATTGCACTAGGGCATTACCTCTTGAAGTATAATTCTACAACACACTAGCAGATCTAGCAGGCAAATCAGATGCAAAATATTCTAGATACGTGACTGGATTACTTGCACATTCAGGATACTGGAATAACTTCACATGGACAGACATTATTGTTTGGGCTCTGGTAGTCTCCTTGACTGCCAGGAAGTTACATCACATAACAAAAGACTTATTTATTCAACTAGTTATTGTTATGAAAGTCACTATGCTCCCCATCAGCCAAATATAATTAAAACCTCTGCTTTTCCCAAGCTATCAACTGTTTGTCCTTCCTGTATGGTACACCATAAAGTGAGGTAAAGCACACCAGAATAGGGCCAGATGACAGCTCAATACTCCTTTTATGACCACAGGAGTGTATCAGGCTCTTAAAAATTTAACACTGATAATTCTGGACAGGAGAAGACTGAAAATTACTGTATAAACTGTATGGCAGAACTTGCAACATCCAGACTCAACTGCAGCAACGCGTGGTCACAGGGGAGACATTTGTTCCGGGTCCTACGCCACGTCTAGGCTGCTCAAGAGCATGATTAGGTCAACTAAACATTTTACAAGCCCTTCTGCTTGAGCTGTCATTATCAAAGCAAAACTGAAGGCCAAGGACGAGCCTTGTCTTGCAGTTCCACTTATCATAATGTTTTTTTAAATTCAAGTAATGATTCTGTTGAAGATAAGTGGCATCCACCAAACAACCCAGCCAACGTCTGCTTTTCAACAGAAACTGTAAACATGGCATTCTACTTGGAAAGGAACGGATCTATTATCAGAATAAAAGTGTCAGACTGCAGCAATCCTGTCAATGCAGCAGTACCAGAGGAGAGTACAGGCTTGCCCAGATAACCTTCCGGAGCAGTACAAAGAGTTGTTCATAACTATAGGTGCTTCCCAGTCTGACAAGCAGAAATACATAACCACAAGAAGACAAAAAGGCTAACAAAGGGAGCACTCTTCTAGCTGGGTTCAGCATCACTGCCTTTAGTCACAAGTCTCAAACCTGTTCTGATGTCAGCTATTGCTGTCATACAGCATTTCCTAGTTCCTGTGAACTACTAATGACAATAGACCAAAAATCCATATTTTGTAGTTAACTCAGGGCCCAGATGGACACAGAAAAAGCAGAGGAAACATTTCAGAACTTGCTAATAAACTTTATTCCTGATTGGTTAATCTTCTAGCTATAATGCTACACTTAAGCATTTTATGTAAACTGTGTGCCAGACTGAAAAAGTCAGTACCATACACAAGCAGTGCTCCAATCCTTCTTGGATTATCAAGTATTTGCCATAAACCTGGGCAGATGACAATGTGGAAATAAATTTAATTATTCAGACAGACTATAAAAATGGAAGTCTTGAACCAAGCCTAAGCCCGAAATAATGCACATGAAGCTCTACCATCCTGAACATTCAGTGTATGCAATTGTTCAGTCTCTGCTCTTCCAGACAGGACTAAGATACCATTTCCAGCAAATAGGAATTTTTGTGGTAAAGATCTCCAGGCCCGTATTGCTTAGAACTTCCTTTATTGCATCTCAGACCAAGCAGTAACAGCACTTCTTGCAACAGCCTTCCACAAAGAAGGGTCTGGCTGGCACAAAGATGGACAAAACGAGATGTAAATGAAAACAACCAGGGAGACAACATCCATCTGACACTATAACCTGCTCAATCCATACTTGCAGCATAGTCCTCTAGCATCTCTATAACAGCTGTATATGTAGAAAATGACAACATATTCCCAGAAAATGCCACATCTGCTGTAAGAACATGACAATGAAATTATGACAAATTGATGCTTCTTTCCACTGATGG